AAATCCGGAAAACAAATGGACCGTTCAACTCGTTCAAAAGAAGGTCGTACGGGATGAATACACCTCGTGGTAATTTGTATCGCATAATAGAATGTAATTCGTGGACCATTCCTGGTTCAACTAAGTATATTTTCTAGTGGTTACATTTAGCTGAGTAGTAAGAGTTAGCAGAATTGTCATCCTTGGTCGCGAATTTTGTCATTTGAATTTCTAAAAGTTCCCCATGAAGAAATTCTCCTGTCTGTGTGTACCTCTCCATTAGATGTTACATTTCATACCTCCAAAAGACATAAAACTCAACAATTAAAAAAAATATATGGAGTATTCGTGGACTAAATAGGGCAAACGGACTAAATCTGTAGTGGTTGTTTTTTGTTCGTCAGACGTTGCATTTCATACCTCATAAGACATAAAACTCAACAGTTCTAAAAATTTATGGAGTATTCGTGGACTAAATAGGGCAAACGGACTAAATCTGTAGTGGTTGTTTCTGAGTGCTGTGTTTGATTGTTGGAGATTAGAAGTTTTTTGGGGTGTTGGTCCTTCCGATCAATGACGTACATAATCAAATCGAAACAGAGCGATGACTTGGGTAACAATCACGAATTGGTAGTAGTAGCACGAACAGTGGGAGTGAGTACCAGTAAACCACTCACTGATACAGATACAAGCAGTCGTGCACACGCTTATCACTTTTATTTTATGCGCGTTGTTGTCGCTGTCTGCACTCGCATTCATTTGCTATTGCTTTGGTTTTGTTTTAAATTTAATTTTTACGATTACCTTTACGTATTCGTTGGTCTTCTTCTTCGCGGCGTGAGTGTGGCTGTAAAATTGACAGAAACTTTAATTATTCCACGTCCTAGTTTTAATGAGCCCATTCGTACTTCTACCATTGCAGCCAGGCAATGCTGTTATTGCTGCTGTTGGTAACAAAAACTGCCAGCCTAGACAAAGTCGCAGCAGTGGCAACAAAAAATACAACAGTAACAGAAACACAAATGTCGCTCGTAAAAATAATTCAAACTAAAGAAAGTCATGCTCAAAATTAATTTAGAGATAATGGGTAAGTCACACTGCTACATACTCAGATCTCCATATATCGTATATGAGGAGAATATCGAGCACGCAGACATATCAGAATGACCATTCTATCGGCATACTTTGAGGGTTCACTGTGCGTAGTACTCGCGTTAAGTGATTTGTGCGCAGACGCATGTAAATACACAGCTTGTTGTAGGCCAACGAGAACGGCAACCTATTCACACTGTTAGTGTCATTGTTGTCAAGCTTTCTTGGCACTTTCAATGATTCTACAAATTATGACTTGATTCTCTTGGGTCTATACTTGAAAGTGGACGATTTTTAGTGAAGCGATTTTTACTTAAAATCGAATGCCTTTTAGGCGTATCATAAATGTGTGGTAACTCGTTTCAAACATTATTGCCCAAAGTGGAAGAAAAGAGAATGACTAATCGAATCGAAGTTGTTTCACTATTTACTTGGTTGGTTGATTTCATTGCCGCAGGGCATTCTTGGCATGAACGTTAATACGTACGTATGTATGCGATCGTGTCGCTCATTATGTTTTCAGTATATACCTATGTATGTATATGCACAAATATGTTGTTTATAAGACGTGAAAATAACCAACAATGCCGTGGGCTTCACTCTATACCGGAGGTTCTATGCGTATGCAAATGGTGGGTAGTCATATTCAAAATATCCGTTTGAGTTTGTACACCACTTCTCTCTCCCTCTATATATATATGGGTCCCCAACTTGGTTTGGTCCGGCATTGGTTTACTGTGAAATTAATAAATTGATTATGAAAAGTTTTATTGTTAGCATTTGCGGTCATTTCGATATCCAATTTGTTATATTCGAACTACACTATAAAGTAATGGAAAACTGAACACTGATGTAAATCTATAATTACTTTGGTATGTGGACAACTGATGGTCTGTTGTAAGCACGTGCACACTTTCATTGTGGATCATTTCGATCGAAACCAGTAAGAGCTTTTAAACCACAGTTAGTCCCGCAGGTATAAACCAATTAAGAAGCATATTCAATAAGCCACATACCTTTACTAAAACATACAACCACACTCACATAATGATTTGTATACCGAAAATGCCTTTCGATCGGCAACAACAACTTCACTATTTGGTAGAAGTATAAGAATTCATTGACCCTGCGGTTGTAGCCGAGTCAGTGAAAAGGGGAGGGGTATTCAGAGACAAAATAAAACACCAAAAACGTACATAGATCGTTTATTTTAGTTATAGTCGACTTGATTTTACCCTGTCAAAATAATAATTTTAATAGAAAATAATTTATCAATGAATGACCAATGAGTGATAATAGCTGCAATTGAAATTATAGTAAGATCGTCCAGTAGCGTCGAACGCATGGAGAGCGGTCAAAAGGGGAAATATGAATGCATTATTCTTGTTGTCATGACGGAAAGCAATCAGTAAGTAATTGCTTTTGATCTGGATAACTTCGTTTGAATTGTGGTTAACCAAGCACTAGGTATGTGCGGAAATACGTTGGCTAATCTAAGTAACTATAATCACTGCAAAAAATGCAACCTTTCGCCTTTGCTTTAAGTGATGTTACGAGGTACGTTCGTTGTCAATTTTGGCCAGAACTGTTAACATAGCGGTGTCGAATTCCCGTTCCATTCCTATTTTCCTCCCAGAGTAATACTAATTAATGGACTTTGACCGTACTGCAAAATTCACCTAGTTTTTACTACGATAACATATTTTTCCTTTATGATATCGACAGAAATTTTACAGTACGCGAATTCATAGAGAATTAAACTTAAGTTTAACGAAATTTCTTTTTTGACGAGGAAAAAACTAACTGTTTCGCCTTTAAATAAAAAACAAAACAAAAACACAACACAATTTTTAATTTTGTAGGTTAATTTACTTGAAAATGTTCTTTAAAATTTTGAAATAGTCCAAATTTGCTTCACACAGACCATGACATAATTATGCCATGACAAAGACGATACAAATTAAATTGATTTGAATGTTGACAAAATATTAATACTTTCGTTTTGACGAGGAAAAAACTAACTGTTTCGCCTTTAAATAAAAAACAAAACAAAAATACAACACAAGGCCTATATAAGGTCGGCCAGTTAGCGAATTCACAGAGAAAACTTAAGTTTAACGTCACTTTTTTGCCGATGCGAAAATTAATTTTTTCGCCTTTAAATAAAAAACACAACCAAATTTATAATTTATAGGATTCATTAAACTCGTGAAATAGTCCAAATGTGTTTCACAAAGACGATATAAATTGAATTTTAATTGAATGTTGACAAAATTTTAATATTTTCGTTTTGACGTCTAACATAATTTTGTATGTATGTATAGGTTTCAAAATATCATTTGACAACAAACTTTATACTCATCTGTGCTTACTGGCCGACCTTATATAGGCCTTGACACAACACAATTTTTAATTTTGTAAGATAATTTACTTGAAATTGTTCTTTAAAATTTTGAAATAGTCCAAATGTGCTTCACACAGACCATGACATAATTATGCCATGACAAAGACGATACAAATTAAATTGATTTGAATGTTGACAAAATATTAATATTTTCGTTTTGACGTCTAAAATAATTTTGTATGTATATATAGGTTTCAAAATAAGATTTGACAGCAATCTTAATACTCAGCAGTCCTTATTTATGGTCATGGGTCATGGTATAACCAAGGTGTATTTAATAAGGTGTGTGCATCAGATACAACATCAAATATTTTACAAAAACAACATTGTTGTTATAGAAATTAAATTGTCATGCTGACAATAAGTTTTTGACAAAAATAAACAAAAACAATTATTAATTTATTTTTGCCAATAACTATTCTTTGAGGAATAATTAATGAATTTGTGTTATTCGCGGTTTTAGGTCAGTGAAAAATAAAGTTTAACACCTGGTCGCGATTAATTTTAAGTTTCCCACAATGACCCCTTGGCTCCTTGTGATGTTGTTTACATTGTGAATTACAATCTATTTTGTCTATGGAGTGGCTTCAAATCTTGCCTTCTTAAAGAAAATTGAAGGACATAAATGCCCGGCCAAAGACTAAATCATGGAAATTGTGTTGACCGTATAAAATCTTTCCATAGGCGTATTTAACCTCCGCCGAGAATTGTGACAAGCACCAAGGGGCCGATTTCAATATAGGCAAACTTAATCTCCTCGATTTTATGAGTAGCTGGGATTTCTGCACAAATTTCCATACATAACATAAAATATGTGGACCAATCGGCGAACGGGGTTATAACTGAGCCTAGGTTTCCTTTCTGTCCTTTCTGGATGTACTTTTCTTGAATTATTATTATTTAAAAAGGCTAAATTTAAACACCATTTTTGAAATCGAAATATAATATTGAAAATGTTTTTGACAATTTAATTTACAAACAATAAAGAAAAAAGTTTGAAACCATATGATTGTCACTTACACCTTATTAAATATACCTTGGGTGTAACTGTATAAGTTATCATCAAGTGTTGTTGTACAACAAATGATACGCACATCAATTTCGAGCGTTGGAGTTATTGTTGTCTTGAGTTTGTTTTATTTTCTACAACGCGACGGATGGTTTAACGAACCCATTCTGCTTACGCTTTATATATCGAAGTCTTTTTTATTAATCGACAAGTCGAAAATCGACTTACATATCTCTATTTTGTACGGAGAATCCATCAGCTGATTGATATTCTTCCATGCCTCATTCGTGTTTATTAACCATTCCCTTGTATCTTTCTATTCATAGCACTGCAACTCACTAACTCGACAATTGGGATAACTTGTTTTGTTGTGATTGTTAAGAAGAAAAAGGCATAAACATGTTTAATAATTGGACTAGTTCATTATTGTGTTATTTGCTGTGAATTAAATCAAACGAAAAACATTTTTAAAATAGATTTTGAGAAAGTCATAATGGAAAAAGTTTAACGCCAACTATGGACAAGCCAATTGCCCAAAACCTGGACTTTCTCAAATGCAGGCAGATATTGAAAGGAGATACGCAATTTTCTAGTCAACATGCTCACCAAAATTTTCCCCTGGCGAGCTGTGATTCTGGTCTATATATATGCAGTTCTAACAACAGTGATACTGCATTAGAATCTGACACGGATTCGAGTAATTTTAGCTCAAAACCAAGCCAAGATGTGTCCTTGCACACTGCACTTCAGGATGTCACCAAACTTCGAAGTGAATTGGAGAGGTTAACAAAGTCCGAACAATGGTATAAGCAGGAACTTCGAAACCAGAAGAAAACCAGATTGGAAGATTTGGAGAGACTATATAGTCGAGAACGCAAATATATGGAGGAAAATCAAAGGCTGCAAAAGGAATGTGTCCGTCTTTATGACAAATGCAGTGAACTGGAACGGGAAGCCGAAGGACAACAGCTTGGAACAGACAACAGCGGCTTTGAGCTATCGAAACACGGCGCGTATGTAACTGATGGTAGCACAAATGCTTTCGAATTGCAACAACAATTATCTATTATAAATGACCAACAACAATTAATCAGCGTGCTTAGAGCACAAAAGAAAGGACTTCTAAGAGATCTCAAATCGCTGACGGAGGAAAAAGACGAACAAATTATGAAATTTCAGAAATCTTTAGCTGACCTGGAGTTCGACAACAAACATATTACAAAGAATTACGAAGAATTTTCAAAGGAACGTTCCCTCCTGGCTAGCAGGTTGATTGAGTCTGAGGGAAAGCTTTCGCTGGCCTTAAATGAAAAACTCTGCTTACAAAAGAGCCTGGTTTCACTGGAGGAACAATTAGAAGTACAACAAAAGCTTGTTGAATTCAAAGAAAACGAAATAACGCGGCTCCAGATTGAATTTAGAGATAAAATTAGTAGCGAATATGATTTAGATGAAGTACACAGATTGAGTTTGAAATATAATGAAGACATAAATATAAAGTCATTGCAAATAATCGAATTGAAAAATAGACTTAGTAGCTTGGAAGTCGAACTTGAATCTCTACAGGAATTGCAGGCACAACACGAGGAACAACAAAGACACATTGAACAATTACAGTTTTCCCTTGAGTCGTGCCGGCTGGAGTTGCAAGAAATTAGGAAGTCCGAAATACTTCATAATAAACTAATAAATGAGCTGAAAGAGGAAAATGAGCTGCTGGTGCTGGAAAAAGAAGACATCGATAGAAAGGCTTTGCAGCAAAAGCAACAATTTGAGGATATTTGTCAGGAGTTGAGAAGCGCTAGAGATGAGTATGCTGCCATTCAAAAGCTATACCAAGACACAAAATTCAAACTGGAGATTTGCGAACTTGAGCGAAACAAATTTAATTTTCATGGTGAGAATGATCAAAGAGAGATCAAAGAGTTGAGACAAAAACTTACGGAATATTTGCAGCAAACATCGGATTTAGTAGAAAAATTGCAAGACCTTGAAAACAAGCTAAAGCAAACTGTGGAAGAAAACGTTCAAATGAAAAATGAATTTGGAAAACTCCAAAAAGAGCTGGAATATCTAATTCCCAAATCTGCTGACAATGCAGATAATCAAACAAAATATTATGACTATTGCAACGACTTCTTAAGACTTTCAAGAGAATTTAAGCGATTACAATGTGTTCTAGATCCAAATAAAGAATCCAATCCAATTGATGAATGTCTGGTTTCTCCACAAGAAGTTGAAATATTTGAAGAAGATGTCGCATTAAGAAATCAATATGCGAACAAAGAAGATAATATGGAGGACTTGAAGATTTCTTTAAACATTAAAAGGCAATTGGTGGACAATCGAACGACAGATCGAAAACAGAAGCAAACATTCAAGGGATTATTAAACGAAAATGCGGATCTAAGGAAACGAATCGTAGAAATAGAAAATGAAGCCAGCTCGCTAAAACTTAAACATGATATCTGTGACGTGGCCCAAAAATGTCAGAACATGCAAATTCGGTTAGCAGAACAAGAACAAAAAGTAGAAGACTTACAAAAGCGACTACTTATCAATGATTCTCAGCTTTACAAATCGGAAAAGCAATTGAAGATACAACAAGAAGAGACAACCTCAATAATGGATTTATTTAGGGACAATCAATTACTGAAGGCTGATATTGATAGGGAACTCTGTAAAAAGGCCAAACTGAAGGAACAATTAGAAACGTCAAATAAACATCTGGAAACCATGAAACAAAAACTCGAAGAATTTACATCATTAAAAAAAGGAAAAGTGCACAAGGCTGTACAGTGCGATATGGGAGCACAAGATGAAGTTTGCCTAGAATTGAAATATCTGAAGCAGCAAATTTTGGATTTACAGAGAAAACAAGAGCAGCAGTTTTTTAACGAAACGCTCAAGTCAGAAGAACGAACTCAACTTTTGCAACAATTGTCAGATTTACAAGACTCAAAAATGGAATACCTACGAGATAACCAAAAGGGGTGGCAAGATATGCTGCAAGCCCTTAAGCATGTTCAGTTTATGGAGGAACAAACGCGTAAAGAACTCGAATTGAAGAGAATGGAGTTGGAAGAATTAAATGAAGTGTTTGCCGAACAAAATGACGAACTTAAGAAATTGGAAGAAGTAACAGCTGTACTCGAACTTCAAAGGCAACAGGAAAAAGATCAAATAACTAGAACATTCCAAGAAGAACTATTTGCGATGAAGAAACAGTTGCTCCAGTACCAACATGAAATTAAAAAACTGCAGGAAATTAATAAAATTCTACAGGAACAAAATATCAAAATCCAGCAGGACTCTGAAGAAGATTATGCCAGTGCAGTTGCTAACTACAAGAAAGAGGCGGCATCATCACTGAACACTAAAATTGAAAATGCAATTCAGGAAAGGAATCCATCTTTACAACGGGTTCGAGATCTAGAAACCGAACTACACGATATAAAAAAGAATCGATGTGAAGCAGTCTTTCTTCCTCAACTTACAATCTGTAATATTGCCAGTAATCCCGAAAGAAAACCACAATCTTCATCAAATGACAAGATAAAAAGTGAACAAGATCAACTGCGTATTTTAACAAAAGTGATTGAAGCTGAATTTGCCAGAAAAATGGAAAGATATGATGAACACATTCACTCTTTATTAACAAATGTCAGTGCGCTCAAAAAGTCGCTTCGGGCAAATGAGCATAAAACAGCAATATTAAGCGAAGAACGCTCTCAAGCAATGAAGGACCTGAAAGATCTGCAAAGCACCAAACGAAATCTGGAAGAACTACACTTGAAATACCAGAAAAGTCAAAACACGATCAAGGTACGTTATTTTCTATTAGTATATGTTTCTTTATTCATAATTACAACAATAACAGGAACTTAGAAGGGAATTGTCATTTGAAAGACAAAAATTTGAATCTTCCGACATTGGCAAATCAACGCAGAATGAAGCACCCTCTTACGAAGTGGCTAATTTGATTGATGACTATAAAAAGGTATAATTTAATCTCTTATTTTGGATATTTGGCGGATTACTGTCACATATTTCTTATTATTCTAGTTAATACAACAATCTGCTTCGGTTACAAAGAGACCCGCCACAAGCGTAATACTTGATTTGATACAACGTAGTAATCAGTGCGTGCCAAATTGCAAACAAATCGAATCAAGTATTGATGATTTACGTAGCGACTTGCAGACATTTTTGACTACCTACGCTCAAAAAATACCCTCTTCGTTTGTTAATACTACTTCGTTAAATGTTCCTCCCTCTCTTATGGATGAACTTAAAGCTGCCTCCCACAGTTTCTAAGCGTAAAATTGTATATTACCCTAAAATATTTTTTCAGTGCCAATATTTTTTAATTCGATGTAATTTGTTTGTATCCTCATATAATAGGGAGATAAACGTCCTTAACGAAAAAAATAATAGTTTTATGCTTGTCCTTGTAGGTGATATAATCACGTTCGTCCGGATGTCTGTGTTTCATTAAACGTCATTATGTTATTTTATTTCTTTTATACAAGTAGTAAACACATACAAACATAAATTTCAAGTTATCTGTCGGCGAAACATATTGTCTCTTACTTGTCTTTAATTATATATACTTGGTGTGGGTAGACTTTTGATCATCATACATAAAGAACCAACAGCTCAAAAACCTACTTTAAAATAACAATAAAGATGTCCCCAAGGTTATATATTGCAATTTTTAAAATCTCTCTTTTTTGTTTTACTTATATACAATTAAAAGAGGCTTTTAAAACATAGTCCGATCTGATCCCCCCATTCTAAAAATATGCTAAGGGTTAGGGTTTTCTACTGCATTCATATTTTTTATAGCGCTGCTTCGGAAGTCATTCAAATCATCTGGTGATATAGTTCCTTGGGCATTTTCATGGCCGCCAAAACCATATCCCGTTGAATAAACGGATTCGGCGCCACTGTAAGATTCTATATCGATTTCAATTTTCCTTGAATATGCCATTTTGTTTGTAGAAACGACGCCTAATATTTTGGCTTTATTTTCATCAAAACAAGTGTAAATGGAGTTTAGGAGATCATTGTTGTCAGAGTCTGTATGACGTTGTACTCTGCATCCAAAGGTGTTTGAAGGGCATTTAATGCTTCCGCAAACCCATTGCTCTGAAATATTAGTGTCTTTTAATTAAAATGTTGTAAAATATTACGCTGCAATTACCATGTAGATATTTTCAATATATGACAATGTGTCAGTTTTTGAACCAAAAGCTGCACTCGATAGTAGTAAATTGAAGAAACAAAAATAAAGTCCGATACACCACATAGCGTCGCTTGTTTGATTAAAACCTCAATACTCAAATATTGTTTTATTAAAAGTACGTTGAACATACAATGGTGTTTATTATTTATTTTTTATTTTATTTATTTTTATTTTCAAATTCATTTATGATACAAAGCCTTAAGGCCATTAATACGTATCAGCTGACAAATATACATAGCCTGAGATACATTATATATTAAACCTAAATAAATATAACTAATTTTACTTTGATAAAAATAGAATGAAGGCTCCCCAGCCATAAAAACAAATATAGATTTTAACATATATCCAATAAGCAGCACATGTATAAGAATATCCACACATTATTGTAGGGAATTGTCAAAATGACATAGAACTTTTAAACGGAAAACATTGTTACTATGTGAAAAAACACGTAATTCAAGTGGAAGGGTATTCCAACATCTCGCAACTCTAACCAAAAAAGATCTTGCGAAGATATTTTTATAGATTCTAGGAATACAGACCTGTGGGTTTCTAGAAGAAATTGAAAAAGAAAATAAAATTCTCAAGGATACGGGGGAATCATTTTTAATTATTTTATAAAAAAGGAATAAGCAACGATATTTAACAAACATGTCAAAGGAACACCCTAGAAACTGCTTAACATATCGTGACACATGACTATCTCGCCTGAGATTATAGACAAACCGCGTTATAGAATTTACAATCCGTTTTACTCTTTCCATATTAAAAGCAATTGTCCCAGAATATACTTCAAGTCCATATAAAACCTGAGACATTAAAAGGGAATTAGCTAGAATTTGCTTTATCCGATGATTTAAGTACAAATTAGACGAATAAATCCTACGTAATGTGCCCCATACTTTACCGGTCAATGCATCAATATGGGATTTAAAGGATAGTTCACAATCAACTATAACACCTAGACATCTATGGTGGTGTACAAAATCAATTCTTTCTTGACCTATATAAATATTTAGAGGATATGCTCGGTCATTTTTCCTAAAATACAAAGCTTTAGTTTTTAACGGGTTTACATTCAGAACATTTCTGTTTGCCCAATCAACAAAGCGATCTAGATTCAAGTTTATGTCCCTTTCAAAAGTGTTAGGAGATTTAGGACTACCATTAAAAAGCAGGAAAATATCATCAGCGAATAAATATGTCGTACAGCTTGAAGTGTTTATGTGAAGAGCAAGGTCATTCACATATAAAATAAAAAGCAGTGGTCCAAGTACAGATCCTTGGGGTACACCAGAAAATAATGAACAAGAATTAGATTTGGCACTATTTAGAACAACAAACTGACTCCGATCTCTCAAATAAGACAATATTAGCTTGCAGGCTGATTTAGAAAAGTCAAAGTTATTCTTAAGTTTCCATACGAGCTTATCATGATCAATAGAATTGAATGCTTTAGACAATCTAATGATACCAAAACACTTAATTTGTCCTCATTAATGAATTCACGGATAGAATCAGTCATTTTAAGAAGCAAATGAGTGGTGTTTTAACCCTGACGGAAAGCATATTGAGAATCACAAATTCTAGATGAACAAATATCAAATATTTTTACAGAATATAATTCGCTGTATGCATTTCCATCTCTTGTTGTTTAAGCATGCAATAAACAGTATAATTTATCGTATGAATCAGTGGTTTTTTGTCCTCTGTTATTTGGCAAAGTTATCTGGGATCTACACGAACTGTTCGCCCCATTTGTGTTCGTATAAGTACACCTACCAAACGACTTAATCGATTTTGATGTTTTATATTTAGCTGCGTTATTTATTTTTATATATTGAAAAAATTCCCTTTTTTGAAAAATTTGTATACGGCACTATGGTAAATACGAATTAAATTTACAAAGACCTGGGGGGTTACTCTGTATTGCGATGCGTAAGAAAAATTGTATCGCATCGCATAATTGGTACTCTCTAATTCGTTTTCGTATCTCCTTTCGCATCTACTTTACGCAAATGTGGCATCACCGAACTCTGTAATACGAAAACGTATGTCAAATTCGTTCGTTAAACGCAAATATCTTGCGTTAACAAAATAGCAAACGCAAAGGAAGCGAAACCTGTATGTAAGCAAAATTAAAGATTTTATTTATATATAAATTAATTATTTTAGGGATAATACAAAAAATATTTGCAGACTGAGCAGCGTTAGTTGATTTTATGGAGCATAACAGCGATTTGGCAAAGGGACAGTTGCAGAGTTCAAATGCTAAACAACGCGCAAACAATTTGTGGACAAAACCGGCTGATGACCTCAATTCAAATGGACATCCTGTAAGGGATGTCGCTGGTTGGAAAAAAGTAATACATTATATTTTTATATAAAATATGAAACTATGCATATTTACAGGTTGGTATTGATAACCACCTTGTCCAAGCAATTTTAAAGCAGCGGCCACTTTTATTGGAGCTGGAATTGCTGTGAATGCATTTGGAATGACGAGCGTTTAATAAATACGCATCTTTATTGAAACGAAAATTTTGTATATAAATCTATAAAAATTAAATATTTGAAAACGTCTGTCACATAATTCGTACTTCTATTTTCATACCCGTGGTCACTTAGGGAGAGTATATTTGTCTTAAAATTATTTTTTTAATTCGTTCATCATTTTGGTTTTTTTAAAAAACACTCGTACCACACAAAAATATGTTTTTATTTCCAATTTTTTGACGTTTCCTTTTGCCATTCTTCGTTATTGTTTACTTTGTGGTGACAGTGTTGCCCAATTTTCGATTTAGTTTGCGAATGCGTTTGCGTGAGCGATACAGAGTACCAAATTGAACTCTTAACGCATTTAGCTATCGCATCGCACTTGCTTTCGCAACGCAATACAGAGTAACCCCCCTGAAAGATCTGCAAAGCACCAAACGAAATCTGGAAGAACTACACTTGAAATACCAGAAAAGTCAAAACACGATCAAGGTACGTTATTTTCTATTAGTATATGTTTCTTTATTCATAATTACAACAATAACAGGAACTTAGAAGGGAATTGTCATTTGAAAGACAAAAATTTGAATCTTCCGACATTGGCAAATCAACGCAGAATGAAGCAC